GCTGGTATACTTGCAAGTCAGACCACTTGAAGCCATTCGCCTATAAAGATACATTACATATGTAGTAGGTATCTACACATTCATGTACATATATATGGCCTCAAGTGGTGTATACACATACACACATATATCAGTTATCAGAAAGAGGCACGGTCCTTATCACCAGACTTCCTCTGTATGTTGTCAACACTAAATTAAATCCTGGCTAGTTTGTTAAGTTCTACTTTGGCTTAGTGATATTTAAATTTTTTTTCTGTTTATGACCTCACCTCAAAATTATGACTTTTAGGAAAGGGTGCTTAACATTACAGAAGTCTGAATTTATTAATCGGCATCTTAGTTCCATTTAAGTTGCTAGGAAGACATAACAGATCAGACCCAAGACTGTTATTGTCTTGAGCTAACAGGTTTACTCCGGGCTGTGGTTTAAGACCTTAGACTTCGGAGGATTTCCCACTCTTCCCACAGATGAGTGGCTCCGTGTGCTCAAGCTTTCTGTGTACTGGTGTGGTTTATGCCAAAGATCTGCTGTCCTTCTGGAGGTCTAGAATTTGGTATATATGTTAGAGTCCCCAAGAAACCCTGAGTCTCTAGCTAGCTTCCTCAGTAGAAATTTCACTCGACGGCTGTCCCTCCTTGACAGAGCTTAAGTTGAGCACATCCCGACTCCCCTGAGCCGGGACAGTTGCAGACTGCCCCTGGTCCCTGTGCTTTTTCTCTTGGCTGAGTTTGCTTTGATCGTTTTGGTGGAATAAGCATAGCTGTTGAGTGTTAACAAAACACGAGCTCCGGGAGTCTTCCTAGCAAATTGCTGAACTAAGTGTGGTCTTGATCACATGATACAATCATTCATCCTGATTTCCATCTGGCCATAAAAGCTTGTGGAGCTTTTCTGTAAGGTCAGTGTATGTTCTATATGGTGGCAATCATACACACAGCTTTGTGTAAACACTGTGAGGGAGCCACGCATTATGATAAACATTCCCGGCTGTGTGCAGCCATTCACTAAATACACGTCTACTGGGGGAAAAAACCAAAAGAGAATGGGAGTGGCTGGACTGTGGTTGTGGCTGGATGCCGGATATGGGGACGATGAAACATGGCTGCAAGGTGTCCATCTGGCCTGGGCAACAAGGCAGACGGCAGTGGGGTTCACAGGGCATCTGGGCACTGAAGACCTCAGCCCTTTTCCATCTTCCTGCCACCACAGATCAACTATATCTTCCGCAGTTAAAACAGACTATGCAGCCGTTACAGAGGGAGTTTGGCGTATCTCACTCGTCCTAAAGGGATGGTCAACATTAATGCCAAATAAGAAGAGTAATTTGCAGACAAATGATCAAGGTTTGGTCTACTCTCAAGTGGTGCATTCACCCATCCTATGAAAAACAACAGGTTAAATGTCAAGGGCATGGATTCTGCAGTCAGCTAACTCCAATCCCAATTCCTACACTTTCTAATCACGAAACCCGGGACAAATTCCTCAACTTGTCTATGCCTTTACTTTCCCATCTGTAAAATGGGGAGAACACTACCCACTATATAGTCACTGCAAAGGTTAAAAGAGTTGATACATATAAAACAATGTTTGTTTGCTGTTCTAATGATAGGTTTATCTCCAGGCCATGGTCACATGACACGAGCACACAGTATATATGAACAGTGGGTGTAGAAGGATGGCCAGGGAGAAATATTCAACCTGAAGACAGACTGGGGGAACTCCGTAGATCACTGTGGATAAAATGTCTTGAGAGGGAATTAACTCACTCATGGAACACATCACAAGTGAGAAAACAAAGGCCACACGTGGATCCTGGGAAGTGGAACTATTTAATAGATGGAAAACACAGACCCTATGAAGGAGAAGGGCAGAAAGGCTCAGAAGCCAGCCAAGGACTCTTGAGAAAGAGGGTGGGCAGCACAAAGGTCCAATAATGAGGGGTACAAATGGGAACTTTGTGAGGACTACGCAAGCCAGGTGACCGTGGAGGAGGTCACTCTTTAGTTGCCACTGGAGCACGCCACAAGGAGGTGAGGACAGACAGTGGACAGAACGGTCCCACCGGGTGTGTCTGTGAGAGAAAGGACAAGGGTGCAGCTCAATGGGCATGTGGGGCAGGAAGTGCCCAGGGTGAGACTACAGACTGAACACATTTGACAGTTGAGGCAAAAATGACAACCACATCCAATATGGCGCTCACTGTACAGATGATGAGGCTAGAAGGGCATTAAGAGGGAGAAGGTGAAGACCAGGAAGCAGCACACAGACAGAGGTCCTCAGCAAGCTGGGGGGCGGAGGAGGGGGAATGCATTCAGTCACGAGGAGGACGAGCGGTCCTGGAGGGGGAGTGACCGTCCTCCTTTGCGGCTGGAACAAGCCTTAGAGAACCAGGAAACTCTACACACAAAGACGGAGAGGAACAGGCAGGTTTCGCATATGAAACCATGGTGCACAGAGGAGGGGGACGTGGAAAGACATCTTTTGTCCTAAAAGAACTGTGGATCCCACATCATATGTCCCACAAAAATATCTTTCAAGAATGAAGGGGAAAAGACATTTTTAAATGAAGAAGAAAAAAACATTCATTAACAGCACACATACTTTACAAAGAACAGATATAGGAAACTTGCCAAACAGAAGGGAAATGTTAATAGAAGACTTGGGACTTCAAGAACGTAGAAAGAACAATGAAATGGTAAAATCAGAGATACACAGACTTCACTTCTCATGAACTTTGTTTTAAAAAAAAATCTTAAGACAGTTGAGGCAAAAATTACAATATCCAATATGGTGCTCAGTATACAATGAGAAACTATTTAGAACAAATATATTAAGAACAGGGAATGTAAAAGAACCCTAATGAAATCAAGGTTTCTATACGTCAAAGTGCTGAAATACTGATAACAGTCTGTGATTAAGTTATGTATATGTAATACACTACATACAGTAAAAAAAATTAGATATATACTCAAAAGCATTACAGACATATCAAGTGGAATTCTAAAAAATATTAAAGTAACCCACAGGAAGGACGGGAAAGCTAAATAACAAGAGCTAGAAAACAAGAGTAACACTATAAAGGGAATACAACAAAAAAACAATTAAAATGGTACACTTAAGCTCTAATGTATCATTAACTATTTTGAGTTTATGAATTAAAAGTGGCAAAATGGATTAAAAAAATATGATCCCAACTATTGCTGTTATAAGAAACTTAAAAAATACAAACTGCAAACACTACAATTTCTTAATTGTACTTCAATAGTTCATCACTCCTCTCTCTGCAACTGACAAGAAAGTCAGCAAGGATATAGAAAATCTGAAAAACATCCCCAACAAAGAAAATTGTGCAGACATTTATAGAAACTCCAGCCAATGACAGCAGAACACACATTCTTTTCAAGAAGTCTTACAGCCCATTCAACAAGACAAACCACACCCAAGGGCAATAAACAAACTTCAACAAATTTAAACAGTCAAACCAAATGTGAAACAAACAAGAAATCAATAACAAAATGATACCAGAAAATGGTTCAAACAGTAGAAAATGAACTAAAAAACTTCTAAATAATCCACAGGTGACAGAAGAAGTCTCTAAAGGAATCAAGGGGTATTCAGAAGTGAATGAACTGTAATAAAAACTTGTGGGATAAAATGAACAGTGATGTGGTAGAACTTTATAATACTTAATGTTTCATAAGAAAATTAAAAGTGTCGAATCAATAATCTCAGCATCCCTCAAATTAAAAAGTGCAAAATGCAACCAGAGCAAAGCAGAAGATAGGCTATAATATTGACTGGAACAGAAATCAGTGAAAGTAAAAACAGAAAGGAACAGAAAAGAAAATCAGTAAAGTGCTGGTTCTTGAAAACAATCAGTAAGATTGGTAAATGTCTAAGACTGATGATGATTAAAAGGAGTTTACCATTTCCAAAATCAGGAATAAAATGGGATATAAGTACATACCTTGTTGCCGTTAAAAAACATAATGAGGGAATACTTCCAACAAGTCTGAAATTGAGATGAAATGAAACACTTCTTTGAAGAGGACCAGCTATCCAATTTATCCAATATGAAAAGACACTCTGAATAGTTCTATATTTATTTATCAACTAGTATCCAGAAAATCTCCAGGCCCAAATGGTTCACTGGACTATTATAAAACATTAAAACAACAATTAAAAACAATTACACACTGTCTTCCTAAAAAACAGAACTTGAGAGGCCACTATCACCTTGACACCAAAATCAGACAATGATACTAGCTAAAAACAAAGAATGGCAACTATGCACCACCAATCAAGAGATTAGAGGAAAACTTCTCCAATAAAATACAATAAAACTGAATGCTTTAATATGTATTTTAAAACAAACACTCCATAACCAAGTGAGGTTTATTCCAAGGAGGCAAGGCTGGTTCAACATGCAAAACTCAATGTAACACATCGTATCACCTGACTGTCAGAGGAAAACCGGACGATCACGTCAACTGACGGGAGGAAGAGCGCCCAGCAAAGCCCACACTCGAGCGAGACGAGAGCCTCACCAAACCAGGGACTGAGGGGGACTCGCGAGACCTGACAGGAAGAGCCTACGGGAAAAACCAAAACTCACAACACTGCACTTGATGAGAAAACGGAACGTTCTCCCCCGAATATCAGAAGCCAGTCACGGATGTCCTCTCTTACTGCTCCTACTCACATCACACTGGGAGGCCTGGCAAGTGCATTAAGAAAAGGAGATAAAAAGAATACAGAGAGGAAGAGAGAAAAGTATTTGCAGTTGACATGTCTATGCACAAAATACCAAGGATTCTATCTAAAGAAACAACTAGAAGTAATAACTGAGTTCAGCCAAGCCTACAAGACACCGAAATACCACCCCCAGAACAATTATCTTTCTACATACTACTAAAGGAAACGAGGAAATCAAAGTTTAAAAATCAGTGTCACAGAGAATTCCCTGGCAGTCCACCGCCCCAGTGGTTAGGACTCTCAGCTGGTCTGGATCTGATCCCTGGTTGGGGAACTAATATCCTACAAGACACAAGGAAAAAATAAAAAAAAATCTATGCATTTATGAATCACTTTTAAGAGTTTACAGGGCCTGAATTATTGAAAATTACAAAATGGTAATGAAATACCAAGAATGCTTAATGACATGTCATATCATGTACTGTGTTCAGTGTTACTTCTGAACAAACTGCTCTATAGGTTTGAATCAATCTCTATAAATGCTGAAGCAAGATTTTTTTTGCATGCTAAGATTCACATGGGAAGTCCAAGGAACTAGGAAAGCTAAGTCAATTTAAATAATAATAGAGACGATTCATTTATCCAATTTTAAGATTTATGGTAGAGCTAAAATTAAGTAAACAACAGACTGAATCAATGAAAAAGTCTGAATGTTTGCTGTTTAAAACCACCAAAAGAACAGTTTGTTTTTTAAAAAAAACTAAAGCCTGAAGGTCTTAACTGGTGCAATAAAATGTGCCTGTATACCATGTGTGTATCTTTATCTACTTAAATACCTGCCCTCAACTATCTGACTCTCCCGACACTGGATAACGAGTGTGTATACAAAGACCCACGAAGAGTCAAGGCCCTTTGCCAGTGAAATAAATGTTCCGCTCACCCCAAGTAAACTAAGGAACCCATCTCAAAGTGCCATAAGCTTGACAGAGAAGTCTCAAAGGAACTGTGTTTGCATTTCATTTGCTTATCTAAGTTTCCATCTTCTTTTTACAAAAATTCCTGAGATAACACTACAGTGTAAACTAAGGAGAAAAACACAGCTAGTTTTCCTTAGTGCACAATAAACACTAGTCTCTCCCTTACGGATGAATTCTCAGATGCAGAATAAGGTTCCACGCTGCGTCAATTTCTAAAATAGGTCTTTACACAACGATGGATGATCTAACAGGTTTTCTCAAAGCGAAGATACTTGAGGGGTTTCTCTTTGGTATGTACGATCAGATGTCACAGCAGGTACTTTCTCTTGCAAAAGATTTTCCTCTGTGTTTACATTCAAAAAGTCTTTCCCCAATAGGAGTTCTCGGAGGGTGACAGAGGTTTGCCCACTTGTAAAGGGTCTTCCCACATTTGTCACACTGACAGACTTTCTCCCAGTATGGATCCTTTGATGCTGAGTGAGGGAGGAACTGCGACTGAAGGCCTTTCCACACTCACTGCACTTATAGGGCTTCTCTCCAGTGTGGATGATGGCATGTCGAATGAGGTTTGTGCTCCAACAGAAGGACTTCCCGCACTCCATGCACTCATAGGGCTTCTCTCCACTGTGAATCCGCTGGTGTCTGGTGAGGCCAGACCTGCGGTTGAAGGCCTTCCCACACTCCGTGCACTCATACGGCTTCTCTCCAGTGTGGATGCTGAAGTGCCGAATGAGGTCTTTCCTAGTGCTAAAGGCTTTCCCACATTCTTTGCACTCAAAAGGTTTCTCGCCAGTGTGTGCCCTTTTATGCAAGATGAAAGTGGAGCAGTGGGTGAAGGCCTTTCCACACTCAGTGCACACATAGGGCTTCTCCCCAGTGTGGATCCGCTGGTGCCGCTTGAGGTATGACCTGTGGTTGAAGGCCTTGCCACACTCGAGGCACTCGAAGGGCTTCTCCCCGGTGTGGATGACATAGTGGTGAATGAGGGCTGCGCTCTCACAGAAGGCTTTCCCACATTCGCTGCACTCGTAGGGCTTCTCCCCAGTGTGGGTCTGCTGGTGCCACATGAGGTATGACTTGTGTTTGAACACCTTGCCACACTCGAAGCACTCATATGGATTCTCGCCACTGTGGATGATGTGATGTCGAAGGAATCCTGGCCTGTGTCGGAAGACCTGCCCACATTCTTTGCACACAAAGGATTTTTCCCCAGTGTGTCTCCTCTTATGTAAGACAAAATTGGAGCGGTGGGTGAAGGCCTTTCCACACTCACTGCACTTGTAGGGCTTCTCCCCACTGTGGATCCGCTGGTGCTGCGTCAGGTAGGACTTGCGGTTGAAGGCCTTGCCGCACTCCATGCACTCGTAGGGCCTCTCCCCGGTGTGGATCATGTGGTGCTGCAGGAGGTGTGTGCTCTTAATGAAGGTTTTCCCACACTCAGTACATTCATAGGGCTTCACTCCAGAGTGAATCTTTTCATGTCCAGCAAGAAGGTGTTTCTTGTTAAAAACTTTCCCACAGTCATTGCATTTGAAGAGACTTTCCTCATCCTGAATCAGGGGATCTTTACTTGATCCACAGGAGTCACGGTCATGGACAGCACCCCCTACGGGGACTGGCTCCTCTTCGACCCTTGAACACACACCACCAGCTGTCCCTAAGCTGCCATGCTCAGGACTTATTTTTTCATGAAGCTTCTCCCTCTGGGGGTTGATCCCTGGTACAAAGTGGTCTCCCTGCACTGCCAGCGGCCCATCCCGATCCTTCGTCTGTCCCAGCTGGGAGTCCCCTGGGCCTCCTTGTGTCAGTTCCTGGAGAGAGGCTCCCTCAGACAGCGTTGGCTCACAACTGGTAGGTTCTGCGGTCTTGGGTTTTCCTTTGTCAACTGAAAGAAATACAATAAACAGGGCCTGTTAGTAATCCAACACAGAAGAAATGAAATTAGCATTTCAGTGAGAAAAAAATAAAGATGAAAGGACTGTTCTGGGTCTGTTATGCTTTGCTACCACTGACTCTCAGGATTGTTCATTTCCTTCTTCCTTGGTCATTAGACTGCTGACTCCTTCCAAGAGAGTTTATGTGAGGAGATAAAGGGTATGGAGTGGACACACCACCATAACTTTATAGACGTGGCTGGGCAGAGTAATAATACCTCTGTGTGCTTTCAGTTTCTGTAAGCAAGGACATCCCAACTGTTGTAAGAACACCAGGAAAAGGGGAATTCCTTGGAGGTCCAGTGGTTAGGACTTGGTGCATTCACTGCCAGGCCTCAGTTAAATCCCTGGTCAGGGACGTACTTTAGATTCTATGAGCTATCTGTAGCTCATAGATGGGATAGCTCATTATGGGAACCTAGATAGATTATGCTAAAGAGATAACATGAAGTCTGACCACAGCAGAAAGACCACGCATGTAATCAGAATCTTGGGGTTTTGAACCACGAGTTATCAGCAGGCGCTCAGGAGCGGGAAAGAAGGCTGGACACTGAGTCCCATGTTCAATGACTCAGTCAGTCACGCTTCTGTAATGAAGGTCAATAAATCTACATACCCGGGCCCTGGTGAGGTTCATGGGCTGCCAACGCTCTGTGTACATATTGCCAAACATCAATTCCCGGAGGTAAAGAGTCGCGGAAGACATGGAAGCTTCGTGACTGGAACACCTCCAGCCCTTCTTCTGATCTGTATCCTGTACCAAACATACTCTGTGAGCACAACAGGTTCAAGGGGAGTTTCCCTGAGTCTAGTAAATCAATGAACCCGAGGGTGGACTGGGAAGTCTCTCGACTTTCAGTTGGTTCAGAAGACCAAGGCAGGCCCGGCAGTGCTGGAATTCTATGTTCCTAATCTGGGGTTTGGCTAACTGTGTGCAGGAAGAGGCCAGGGGAGCTGTACACTGCAGGAGCCCCACACCAACTCCAGGCACACCAGGCACTGCCACAGGAGACAGTGGGAAGGACGCGACAGCCTACGGAGACAATGTACAAAAGCCCCACAGGCCACGAGGATGCTGCTGATGAGAACGCAGGGGCGCTGACCTGGGTTACTGTGGAAACGCCCAGGACACAGCTCATAAGGCAGGATGGGAGGCAGGACGGAACAGACACACTGTGTCTGTTATGTCTCAACAGTATGGTGAAAAGACTAGCAAAACACACATGATCTAGATAAAGAAAATGTCAATACTTTCCTTGAAGACATTGAAGAGGAGCTAAACCAATGAAGAATTTAATGTGGGAGATGGTGAAATTGGAGAGAGACAGTCAAAAGGTGCAAACTTCCAGTTTTGAGATTAAGTAACCGAGGGATGTAATGTACAACTCTATGACTGTAGTTGACACTGCTGTATGATATACAGCATCATTAAGAATATATTCCTTAGAGTTCTCATCACAGTGAGAAAACTTTTTCCCTTTTATCTTTTCTTCTTTTCAATGTATTTAATATCTTATCTTTTCAATGTATTGTCACCATGCTTATATTCAGAGTACATTATGCGAAACGCCAGGCTGGATGAAGCACAAGCTGGAATCAAAACTGCTGGGAGAAATATCAATAACCTCAGATACGCAGATGACACCACCCTTATGGCAGAAAGCGAAGAGGAACTGAAGTCTTTTGATGAAGGAGAAAGAGGAGACTGAAAAAGCTGACATAAAACTCAACATTCAAAAAACAAAGATCATGGTATCGGGTCCCATCACTGCACGGCAGATAGATGGGGAAATGATGGAAACAGTGACTGACTTTATTTTCTTGGGTTGAAGGCAGGAGGAGAAGGGGACGACAGAGGATGAGATGGTTGGATGGCATCACCAACTTGATGGACATGAGTCTGAGCAAGCTCTGGGAGTTGGTGGTGGACAGGGAGGCCAGGGGTGCTGCAGTCCATGGGGTTGCAAAGTCGGACTTGACTGAGCAACTGAACTGATCTGATACAGGAAGATGCATGTTAGTTTAACCAACTGGTAATCACTTCATAATATACGTAAATCAAACCAGCATGCTCTATGCCTTAAAACTTATACAGTGATGTATATCGATCGTTTCTCAATAAAACTGGAAAAAAAAATGAATCATATGAAGCTTACAATTCTATCCCAATGAATTTGTATATTCAATACAATTTCCAATAAAATACCAATTGGGTTATTGTGCAACTCAGTAGTTTTACCATGGGATTTGCATGAAAAATAAAGATGCAAGAATAATGAGAATTAAGAAAAAGATATCTACCTTAGCAGGTAATAGGATTCTAGACTTTAAGACACCGTGGTCCTGGTACAGAGAGAAGACAAACAGGCAATGCAAAAAGAACAGAGAGCCCAGGAAACACACACACACGGAGCTCTGGGGAATGAAAGAGAAGGGAGAGCAGCTCACAGTAAAAGGAAAGAATATAAAGTAAACGGAGCTAGAAAAATGCGTGACACGCTGGGAATGAGAACTCTGTATTCTTGTCTCACACTATCCCCAAATTCTACCTCACACCAGAAAGAGTTAAATGTCAGGTGCCAGGCTTAGAACATCTTATAACGAGAACATCTTTTTGATATTAGGGATGGAGCAGCACCTATAACTGACATAAGTATCAGTAATGTAAAAAAATCCCTAAAAACAAAAGTCAAACAAGTTAACAGAACACCTGGCATTTTTGATGAACTGACATTTCAAAGAAGAAAATACAGCTGTTCTTCAGTATCCACAGGGGAATAACTAGTATCAGACACTTCCTGCTCAATACCCAAATCCAAAGATGCTCAAGTCCTATGTAAATGCCAGTTTTTGCACATAACCTACACACATCCTCCTGTGTACTTTTTATTTTTTCCTCCTGTGTACTTTAAATCGTCTCGAGAGCACTTGTAATATCTAATACAATGTAAATGCTATGTAAATAGTTGGCAGCACAAGGCAAACTTAAGTTTTGCTTTTTCAAGCTTTCCGGGATTTTCTTTTCCCCTAGTGTCTTCAATCCGTGCTTGATGAATCTAGAGAGTCAGGGCCTGCAGAGGAGGAGGAGGATTGTACAAATGGGCCGATAATTACATGATAAGAAGCTAAAGCTTGTGAACAATTAAGGAAATGCAAGGCAAGCTCACCTAAGACACAATTTTGTCAATTTGTTAAGCAAAAATCAAAGTGCCTAAGAGCATCAAGGACAGAACAGGACACAGTCAGTGGAATCTAGAGAATTATAGATAGGCAGATCTCTTTGAGAAAACCACCACAATTGTCACCTAAAGTTGAAAGTTTGCACAGGCTATAATCCAACAATTTTACTCCTAGAAATAACAAAAGACAGGCCTAATAATGTGCAAGATGACCAATACATACGGATATTCTTGGTAGCACTGTCTGTGAGAGTGATGAAATGTGAAAAATTAAATGCCCTAGAGAGTGGATGAATATGAAACAGGAATATTTTTTATTTATTTTATTCAAGTGGAAGAAACTTGAGCACATTTTTGTGTTGAGTAGTCAAAGGATAAAGTTACTAAGGGGCTTCCCTGGTGGCTCAGAAGCTAAAGCATCTACATGCAATGTGGGAAACCTGGGTTCGATCCCTGGATCAGGAAGATCCCCTGGAGAAGGAAATGGCTACCCACTCCAGTGTTCTTGCCTGGAAAATCCCATGGACAGAAGAGCCTGGCGGGCTACAGTCCATGGGGTTGAAAAGAGTTGGACATGACTGAGCGACTTCACTTTCAAAGTTACTAAACAAGCAGTAAATAAGAAATACTTTCCTTAAAAGGTGTAACCTAGACTCTGGTTCAAGAACTGGCCATGAAGTGTGCCAAGATCTCTTACACCACGTGAAAGGAATAGTACAGCCTGGAACCTGAGTGCGGAAGGGCTGAGGACCAAGTAAGAATTTACTGTGGAGACTTGCTGACACCCCAGGGTCATATGCTGACACATCTGCGCTGGGGAGGCAGTCACTGTCGGGATGGCCAGATGCAGGGCTGCTGCAGGTGGGGGCGAGGGTCTGGGGCGGCATCCAGTCTCCAACCTGCGCGGACGGCAGGACCATGTGCTTGAGCATGGAAGTGAGCACCGGGATGGGTTCTCTGAGGCGTGCTCACCTGAGATCCTCAGGTGGAGGTGCGTGGAGAGCAGGGGCAGAGGCTGGGAGGCCCCTTGAGGGGCCGCCAATGGCCACACACAGATGCTCAAAGGCCGGCCGGGCCACCGAGTGAGTAGGAGTGGGAAGAGCACGCCTCTGCAGCAGCCCCAGCACCACACACAGCGGCTCCAGCACCCTCAGCCGCCCAGACATGGCCACAGGACAGACGTCACCGGGAGGCTTCACCCAACACGGGGGTGAGGGCGACAGGGGGACAAGGCGGGGGGGCTCCTAAGTGTCTGAACGACAGGGCGAGAAGGGGAAGCAGAGGAGGGCTGGAGAGGTGCTGGGAGGGGAAGCGCGAGCCACACTTCATCATGACCAACGGGACACGCGGTACAACAGCTCATTTCCCGAGAGACTACGACCACGGCGCAGACCCTGTGCTGAGCGGTTTTATGCTCTAAAACCACACACCCCCAGCAACCCCAGGACAGAGCGACCATCATGACTGGCGCCTCCAGGAGCAGCCCCCCCTCGCCAACCTCCTGCTCCTCTCCTGGGGCGGAGGGCTCAGTCACAGCTCCCCGCCCAGCGCCCCAGCGCGGCCAGGTGCCCAGGGCCTTCCAGTGGAGGGAGCAGAGGGCCGGTGTTTGTGGGAGTCAGAGTGGCGTCACCCCCCGCCTCTCTGCTAGCTGCAGGGGATCAGGACCACCTGAAGCCACATACTGACGACTGGACGAACCCGGGGCCCCGCACAGCCGTGTGCTGCAGAACCCCCGTGACCCACAGGGACGGGGCGTGAGTCACAAACAGCGGCTCCACTGCGTGAGCGCCGAGAGGAGAGGCCGGAGTCCCCTCGACACTGCGGCCAGGCCGTAACTCAGCCGAGCTTACGTGCAGATACGAGGAGATCCCGAGTTTCACTGGGGTCACAGAGCTGGTGGTCGGCACCCAGGCCTGAAGCCCAGGACACATCTGAGCGCGTGCACAGCTGTCCTCGGGAAGGACAGAGGGACCTGGGGTCAAAGGGCTCCGTGGCTTTCAGACCACCAGAGGCCCGAACAAGACGCTTCCCGGGGAACCAGGGCCAGTGGCCTCTGTGGGTCTCTGCCCACAGCTTGGCTCCTACCTGGACAGGTGCTTCCGGAGAGGTCTCTCTTCACCACCCACAGCTCCTGCCCGTGTTCCAGCTGGTAGATCAGCTCAGGTCTGGGGACAGGACACCCTGGGCATGGAGAAAGGAGGAAGACACGGGGGCTTCTGTGAAAACTGGGAAGACCGCTCAGTCTCGTGTGGGACTTCAGGATGTGGACCTCAGAAGGAAGCTGCTCCCACGCACAAAAATCTAGACCTGTGACCTGGAAAGCAAGGTCAGAAGCAGCACTGCTGGGACCCAGACTTCAGACAGCAGTGAGAGTTGTGTAGACAGCTCCTGTTCCCTTTGACCTCCTTCACGCAGAGCTCCAAGAGACCTGTTCAGCTGTAGCCAAGAGACCCAGAGAACACAACCCCCTCCTTCCAGAGGCTGTTTTCTAATTAGTCCAAGTGAGTCTCAATCACGTGAGCATCAAAACCTTCCGGGATGTCTGGTTCATGTCTAACTGAAAGCTAATCTCTGCAGACAGGGCCTGGGCAGCAACAGATTAAAACCATCCCAAACTCTGGCCTCAAGAAGGCCGAAAACTCAGATCTCCACCAACCGACAGGTGACCCACACCAGGCCCTGTGGAGGAGAGTGCCCCGGCTCAGGATGGCTGATCGAGGGGACTCGCCGGTGCCAGGTCCTGCAGCAGCCTGGGTTGCCCATCAGGCCGCCTGCCTGTCAGGAAAGCTGCCCGAGACCCTAGACCAGGAAGAGGCAAAGAAGTAGACAATTGGGTTGCAAGCCACCAACCAGGAGCCAGTTCCAGCCCTGCGCCTCTGACTGCTGAGTTAATAAAAAACTTCCTCCAGAGTGAAGACTGAGCTGGTCTGCCACATGCAGCCACACACAGATGCAGGGGCAAGACACGTGGGTTCCACAGGAAGTGGATGGCAGAGGCGCCAGGACTCGCAGATGATCTCCTCTGGGAGATCCAGGGTTCATCACTCATCACTAAGCAACTGTGCTCTCCCGTCTGCTCCAATCCCAGCACAGGGCTCAGCCACCAGGAGTCACCCTCCCGACAACCTCAGGGCCTTTGCACGTACTGACCCTCCTCCCTGGGTCTCTGCTCAAATGCTGCCCCCTGAGAAGACTCTGCTCAACCCTGGCTGAGTCCAGGTGCTTAACCAACCCACCATATCACTATCAACCTTTAATCTTAATTATAAGTGAAAATTAATTTGTACAGGGTATAACCATATCACACGGATTGTGCCAAGCAATTTAGAATTATATTATTTAAACTGATGGAATAATTTAAAGAACTCACATATTTGAAACATCGACTCTTCAGTCAAAATAAGGTATGATGACCTCATTGATATCTTTTTTAGATCCCAAGCAAAGTTCTGAAGTCTGAAGCTGTGACTGGCCAAGTCTGCAAGGGCTGTGAGTCCCTAGCTGCCACCTGATCTGAGAAGAGACTGATCTTATTAGTTGGTCTCTCTGTGGTCAACATACCAAGTTTCTAGGTTGGTGACCCAGGGGCAACCAGGTAACTGGTACTGCACCAGGCCCAGGTCCCCTCAAAGATGCAACGCATCAACTGAGCCAACATCACTGAAGTCTGGGGGCAAGTGGGGAGAGGCACTCAACCCAGCTTACTCCAGACTGCACAAGCCCTGCCGTGGGTCTGGGCGCTCCTGTGGAACACACACCCAAAGGTCACACCACTGCTGTCTAGAGGCACGAGACCCAGCCCTTCCCTAGAAAGGGAGGCCGCTGCTCACCGACTCACCACTTGGGACTGCTAGGAGCCTACCCGGAGAACACCCAAGTAAAAGAAAAATGGTTGGGGATAGAAAGGTGGCCAAAAAAAATATTTTTGTTTGGAGGGTAAAAAAGGAGTGGGCAGGAAGAGGACGGGACTAATTATTATGGGATGCACCAGGGCCATGCCAGGGAGAGGCTGAGCTTAGAGACCCAAGCCCCTCCCCATAGGAGATAGACTAAAACTAAAAACCAGGGCTTTAAAAGATAAAAGCCCAGAAGGGAAAACGGGAGGGAGTGGTGGCACACACTTTAAACCTTACACACCAAGCAAATGCCAGGCCTAGCAGACACAATACTGGTTCTAGACTGGTACTGACTCAAACATAGTAACAACAAACACCGAACCAAAAGCCCTAGATAACAAGGAAAGAGTAAAACATTTAACAATATACAATACATAACTAAATTAGAACACAGTTTATAGTTGGACCCAACTGGAAATCCAAAATTCTTATACTAAAACTTACATAGTAAATTATTATATATAAGTAACATAACGTATTTAAAAAGTTTATATTACTGAAACATAACAAGGCACAGATTAGTTTGTCTGACCTACAACACAAGTTTTTGAATTATCTTCAGAATTTACTAAAATGTACCAACAGACAAAACCTCATGAACTTAATACTGTGGCTCAAATCATAGTTATAACCGGGAATCCCCCTAAACTGAAACACTGCACTCTGCCATCTTAAAAAGTAACTAAATTCTAAAGAGGAAAAACGGGCATGTCTCACTTTAACTCTATAGCTTTGCCTGAACTTCCTATAGGCCAAGTATCCACTGTTCTAAAAGTACCCTGCATTGGGCATTGATGCTCTGACATAATTAAAATGAATTTCTGGCACTTATAAATTAATTGACTTGATGAAATGGGACCCCACACACCCAAGTGAAAATAATTATTCAGCCCAATGTTAAGTTGAAAAGTGAATTTCAGGGAGCAAACCTTACGTGTAAGACCTAATTCATCAAGGGGTGATGATCCCCACTGCTGCTCCATTTAACAGCCCAACTGTGCCTGTTCCTAAATCTGAAAAGACCCAGGGCCCCTCACTGTGAGTTACTGCAACCTTCATTCTGCGGTCCCACCCAGCTTCAGGGCTCCTATCATGGACTGAATTGTGTTCCCCTAAGCTGAATGTGTTACCCCCTAATCCCCAATGTGATCCGACCTGGACTTAGGGCCTTTAAGGAGGTAATGAAGATGAAAAGAGGTCATGGGGTAGGGCCCTGATCTGGTAGGACTGGTACCCTTTGAAGAGGAAGAGAAGGTCCCTCCAAGCCAGAGCAAAGGTCAGGAAGGGCTCCCAAGCAGGCGGTCAGCAGGAGATCCTTATCGGGAACTGAACTGGGACGTCCAACATCCAGAAACTGTGAAAATAAAGCTGCTTAACCACACAGTAGAGGCAGTCTGAGCTGACGAACAAGATCCACACACCCCAAACCCAACATTGTTAGAAGCCAGTAATTACTTGCCCTGACAGACTGGGCTAAGGTGTTCTGTTTGGTGTCAGTTTTGACAGGCTCACAGCCTTGGTCTGCCTTCACTTTGAAGGGAAACAGGACTCCTCTCCCATCTCCCAGGCTGCCAACACCCACACCCTCGGCAGCTGACACCTCAGCTGCACCCCTTCTCTGCAGGAGCGCCGGCGACATTACATTGACCACAGCCTTTCTAAGGAGATGCTATCTGACACAGGACAGACAGTAGGCCAACATCTGATAAACCTCTGGGGCTAGTTTAAGATAGCACTCCCATTTAGTATGACTTTAGTGGCCATGTATTCGTTTATAGATTTTACTTCATCTCCCTGATACTGAAACTTATAAATCAGCCCACCCTGAATGGGGCTCCCTCCAACAAAGGCTCTAAAATCAGCTACCAGTACTGCTGGAAAGCCAGTCCCACTAGAGCCCTCAGAGACTCCTTCACTAAAAAGGCTTTGCCGACCTCTTCGCACACCTCCTGGAGTTCCTGAAGCACGGACCAGGGCCATGAGATGCCCAGACTGTGCCCTCAGCCCGCTGCGGCATGCTGTCCAGACCACCACGAGCCACGCACAAGGCTCTCCTGACAACAAAGGCTCTCTCAGACCTGGAGCCTCTGACCTCCACACCCAACTGCCCATCATGTTCTGGGTCATGAAAACAGCACAGACCAAGCTCAGCACAGCTATCGAGGGCTCAGGACAGGATGGCACAGACCCTAGGCCCTCTGACACATTCTACTGGGAGGAGGCGGTGGCTTCTCCTGTCCTCAGCTCCTTGCCAAATGCCGTGGTGCTGGGGGGGTCACCCCTCCCAGGCTACCCGGGGAGCTCCTCGGGACTGAGTGAGTGAACCGCTGGGGGGTCCCTGACTGTTGTCCATCACACGTGATGCTGCTCCGTAGAATGCTGCTGCTTTCTGCCTTGTGGCCAGCATGTCCCAGTGAAAAGTGGGACCTAAGAAACACTCTGTGGCCTACTCAGGGGGCCATCTTAGTACCAGAGGCCCTAATCAGCAAACGGCTTCACATTCATTATCAACTGCTGGGCCATCGCTTCAAAACTGCCTCCTTCAGGCTAAAGAACCTCTTGTCCCACAGGTACCACAAAAGCAAGTCAAAGTCACACGCCCCTACATTTATAAAGGTGACCACACAAGCTTTGCCAGGATGCTCCCGAGTCCCTCTCGGATGACAGGCATTACTGACAGTGACCAAGATACACATTCCACTTCACAAACTACACAATGCTGGGCTCTGGTGAGAGGCAATCAATTGAGCTCCATGGCCCCAGTAGGCCCCAAACAGCTGGTTTAACTAGAGAATAAAAATATCCTTCAACAACTCCTTTTCGAATTCCAGTCTGACAAATCCCCAAATAAACCTCTCTCGCCCCGCAGCCTTAATTCAAGGCTCCCTGGCCTACTTACACCACACAGAGACTTCGGAAACGCCCCACCGCCCTTTGCTACGCTGAAGGGGAACGCGGCCCCGCTCTGCGCACACCAAGACTGGCTCTACAGCAGGCCACTCACTGTCCCCGCTGTGGTTACGCACGGAGCTTGCCATCATGCCACGAGGCTGGGGGCGGGACCGAGGGAGCACACGCCCCGGGGGCACAGTAACCGGGACTGTCCCGGAGCCCGGGCAGCTGCTCGTCCGATGTGGGATCCACCAGGCCTGAACTCCAAAACCAGACAGACCAAACCTTGAAGAAGAGCCCTATGCCACTCTGAGAACTGCTGTTCTGATACTGGTCTGGGCACCTTCAATGCTTTCTAACTCAGAGGCCCGAACCCTCCGAGTAAGCCACTGTGTCAAACAAACCAGCAAATGCTGAGGCCATCATCAAGTCGAGCGCGTACCCACTTGCAAAGGTTACCTTGTCCCACATCCCATCAATGAAGTGGACTTCACCCGGGGACACTAAAACTCTCACTCTAGTGGGTATGTATGGACTGCCTCTCCTAGGACAGAAATCAGAGTTGCAGCTTTTGGCTTTCTTTTAGGGATTCTATCATATACGATCATGTTCCTGAGCTGCCGTCTACAATCCTGGTATATTCCTTAACCTGCCAAACGGGAGACCTGGTAGAGGATGCTACTATCTGTGATATTTTAAAAACAAATGGAGATTATGGCTTCCCTCACAAAGCACTTGTTTCCTATAATCAACCTTCTAACCCTCTGAAGAGAGCGGCACCTGCTTCCCAAAGGTGCCTCCCCACTACCCACTCCAGCTTTCCACCGGAAGGTGTGGAGATCAGAGGGCCACAAGAAAAGCCAAAATGCCCAAGAACACCCACCAGGAAAACAGAACAGCACCTCACAGGCCTGAGGCAAATATGTCAGGTATGCACAGAAACAGCAAGACGCCATTGAGACTGGAGCAGTGAGCCCGGGGAGAGCCTGGGGAGGCGGGTGGAGGGATCGGGGCTCGATGGTGGGCGTTTTTTTTTGTTATGAAATATCTAAACATGTCAAGCGTTTCCTGATTTTCTTTAACCTCCTCTCACTAACACAGAACACAATCCCAGGTCTCTAAGAACAGGCCCGTCTCACCGAAGCCCTGGGTTCACAGCCCTCCCTTCCCTCAAACTGAGCGGCCTGAGGGGACCGTCCCCGAGCTGCTGTTTCTCCACCGCGGCTCTCCGGCCCATGCCGACTGGGTCACCCTCGGCTGCGCGGGGCTGTCGCGTCCACCCTCTGGTGCTGAGGGGTATCTCTGGACTCACCCCCAGACCCCGGGACCTCCCACCCCCACGAGTGACGGGCAGAGGTGGCTGCAGACGCTGCCTGGTGTCTCCGGGGCACAAAACCGCCACATGCTGAGAAGTGCTCCTCTCCCAGCTTCTCCTTCTCGGACCAGCAGATGACCCCGGCCGAGGCTGAGTGGGGTGCAAAAGCCATTCTGAAAAGACAGAGATGTGAGCAAAGCCAGAGAAAGAAGCCAGGACAGGAGACCCAGAAGCCAGGGTATAATCCTGGTTCTCGTATTTCAGTCCCATGTGGCCCAACTGGAAATGCTGCCTTTGGGTTCTGCAGAACATTCATTTCCTTCCACCACCTTCTAAGAGCCAAAGGGGTCTTTCTTGCCCAAAGTGACACTAAGATAGCAGGCAGAGAGAGATGAATCTCAAACATGAGTGACGCTGTATGGCGGGGAGGCTTCTGGATCAGCTAGGCATGGAGCTAGAGCGTGCCTGCAGGGCTGAGTGGGAGGCCTTACCCAAAGACAGCAGGAGCCTGCACGTCTCCAGCATCACCTCCTGGTACAGGGTCCTCTGAGCCGGGTCCAGATGGCCCCACTCCTCCTGGGTGAAGGTCACAGCCACATCATCAAAGGTCACAGACACCTGTCAAGCAGAGGTAACAGAGCTCATTTCTAAAAGGCTGGTAAAGGTGCAGAGAGATCTAGGCCTTAACCATGGAGCAGTCTGAGGGCTAGATCTAGGCTGGGCTGAAGGGGAGGTGAACAATGTTTTGGACATAATACAGTAGTGTATTATGAAGTCTGTAAGAGACGCCTCCTATGCAGGGCACTGGAAAGTCACACAAGACAATGGAAGTGACGTGTGGGCTGTGAAATGCAGACAGGGCTCTAGGACATCAGAGGAATGAGTACGTAATGGTAATAACAGTGTCAGTAATGGTAACAACAGCAGTACCTGCGCCTCCCCGGTCCTGCTAACTGCCTGACCCATGCTGAGGGCTTCACATCCTGGTTAAAGCGATTACAAGTCCCCAGTTCTTTTGTCAGTCTCCCGTGGTTTGCATCCAAACTCTTGAAACCCGAGACTTGCCAGCTGTGTTACCTTGGAGACATCACTCACTTCATTTCTCTGAGCCTCGTTTCTGGATCAATACAATAACAGTTCCCACTTCACCAATAACTGTCCTGAGTTTTAGAAAAGTATTCAACATTCCATGGGCTTTGGCATTTTCCTTGATTCTCCCATAGGCTCTGAGTAAATCTCTCATTACCTCCATGCCAGTCAATGACCTGAGGCTAAGGGAGCTCCACCAATCCACCCAATCGTGTGTCCTACAAACCAAAGGCAAGATTTTTAACGCAGGCCAGTGCAATTCAGGGTCTAACAGTGTAACCTGACAGTCTTTCACCAAAGTGAACACCTAGTGATGAGGTTGTGAGGCATTTAAGGAAATGTTTGCTGTTAAATCCATTTCATCATGCCTGAAAATATTTCTGTGAACATGGACAGAGGAGCAGAGCCTTCATCACAGACCTCCCGGGATAAACGCCTGAAGGGGTGGATCTACCTGGATAATGGCAGGGTCTGGACCAACTCCCCAGCCCCTCCTGGGTCCCAAAACTCCCAGGGAGATTCCACAATGAACCGTTTAGCCTCTTTCTTCCTGGCCCTGCCAAAACTCACCCCGTACCAGGACTACTTCAGACCAGGGAGCACAAGTGGCCCAGGCTAACGCTCGCTTTGGCCATGAGATTGGCCACCATGGCTGACCTGGCTGAAAGTGAGTGCAACATTCGGCAAAGGCCCACAGGATCTCGCCCACTCGAGACACGTCTCAGCATCTGGGAGGAACCATGGCAACCTGGCTGGCCTTCTGTAACTTGACTTTGTCGGTCCACTCATCTCGCCCTCCAACGCCCAAGGCCACCAGGTGGAGTAACACCGGGGGGGGGGGGGGNGGGGGGCAGAGTGTATCCTCGCAGTACACGGTGGGGTGAGGGGTTTACCAAATATGATGGGGGCTCCTCAGGTGGTTCAGCGATTAAATAAAGAAAAAGAAGCCGGCGCCCATGGACAGGGGAGCCTGGCGGGCTACAGTCCATGGGGTCGCAAGAGTCGGACACGACTGAGCGACTAACAACCTGGAGGAGGCAGCAGTCATTTCTCTACAACTTCTGGGCACTTGTCAGAGCCCAGTAGCTTTCAAGACCGGGAATACATAAGTGGCAAGGCGGCTCCACAAACCAGAGCAGACGGCCGCGGGGACACATCCGGCGTGCCTGCCGGAACCGCCTCAGTGCTCGAAAATGAGCGGTACCGTCACTGGCGTCCACGCACCTGGGTCCGGTGGGTCGGCACCGCCATGACGGGAGCTGCGGTCCAGGCCGCCTGGGAGAGGCGAGCCCGGGGCGGCCCGCTGCCCCTCGCCTTCGCCCGCCTGGGCTGGGCGACCTCGGCTGACCGCCGCCCTCCGTGAACAAGCCGCCCCAGAGCCGGGCGCCGCCCTCGTGAACGCGGAGACCGGGGGCGCTGCTGAGGCCCGCACAGGCCGCGGACCGGCGGGTGACCAGGGCACGCCACCGCCTAGGGACTCACGACCCGTTCAAAGGCACGAAGGGGATCCGCACCCCTCTGCGCGGGCCCCACGAAAGGCCTGGGGAGCCGCGCTGGCCCAGGTCTCCGCCCGTCGAATCCTGCCGGGAGCGAACCCTGTAGGCAAATGGCGTCCGCAGAGAGAAACCGGAAGTCCCGCCCACGCCTCAGGAAACGCCCCCTACGTCATTGGCCAGCGCCCGCCTCAGGCGCACAGCCTCTGGGTGAGGTAGTCTCCGTTAGATCCGCGAAGGCGAGGAGCAGGGTAACCAGCGGGGTGTTTCTCCCCACAAAAAGCTGAGGCCGGCCTAGACGTGCTTCTTCATACTGGATTCAAGTCGGGTGGACGAGGTGCCGGGGGCGAGAGGGTCTGTGCAGTGACCCAGGGAAACTGAGGCTAGGAGTGCTGGGACATTCGCCCCCGGTGGGGCCAAATGCAAAGGGTGTGGGGCTGTGACCTGGGCTTGCAGCTGGCTGAGTGGTTTTCCTTACCCCGCTGCTCCTTCCTGGATCCTCTCTCTCTCTCTTCCTTGTAAAGGATTTAAACTTCCCAAAGTCATGACTCTTAAGTTTGCCCATGCACCTTTCTGCATGTATTTTTCAATAAACTTTTTACTTTACACTTTACTTTCTGCCTCCTTGCCTGAATTCATTCTTGACTAGGCAGGCAAGGACTGCGGACTCAAGCCCTAACTACTGGCCCCTGTGGTCCAGTGGTTAGGACTCCTGGTCCAGAAAACTAAGACCTTGCTTCCAGCTACTGTTCACTGCCACTTACTAGTGTGTGCGTCCAAAATCATAACCACTGGACCACCAGCGAATTCCCAAGAGCCTCTTCTGGAAACCTAGCAGGACCGTGTGGAGCCTCCTCCACCACCACACCTCTGTGTGTCCCTACTTCTCGTTTGTGGCAACAGCTTTGGTTGACTTGGCCTCCCTGATTTCCAAACAGGTGGGCTCCAACAGTTAATCATTTTAAGAGGCAACAATTTGAACAAAGAAGAGGCAGTCAAACAGAGAAGGAGAAAATAACTTAAGCAATACGTCAATCTGTAGGACGGGGTCATAAGAGCTTAGCTCTCCTCAAGGAAGACAGTTAACAATGTCTGAAACACTTTTTAAGTTGTTTTTTTATAGAAACCAAATTCCCACCAGGTGGAAACTGCTGACCTCAAACACATAGACCACAGACTGCTTGGAATCAGAAGATTGATGGTGAGATTCCTGAACACCACCCTGCTACCTCAGCACCAAACAATCAGAAAATTCTCCATGAGCTGATCCTGCATCCTGGGACCCTCTCCCCTAACACTGTCTTTAAAAACCCTTGCCTGGGGACTTCCCTGGTGGTCCAGGGGTTAGGAATCTGCCTGCCAGTGCAGTGGACATGGGGTCGATCCCCTGGTCCGAGAACTAAGATCCCACATGCTGCAGGGCAACTAAGCCCATGCAGCACAACTAGTGAAGCCCTCATGCTCTGGAGCCTGTGGTCAGCACCGACAGAAGCCGCCACAGCTAAGAGCAGCCTGCAGTCTGCAACTGGAGAAAGCCTAAGCGCAGCAATGAAGAGCCTGTGTGCCCTGAGACCCAGTGCAGCCAAATGCTAATTAGTTAATTATAAGTAAATGTGCTTTTTAAAATAAAACCCTCGCCTGAAGTCTTCACGGTGTTCAGGTCTTTTGAGTGTGAGCTCCCCATTCTCCTTGGTTTTCACCCTGAGATAAACGCTGTGCTTTCACCACAACCCAGTGTCAGGTTGGCTTTGCTGTGCATGGAGTGAGTGAACNGAAGTCTTCACGGTGTTCAGGTCTTTTGAGTGTGAGCTCCCCATTCTCCTTGGTTTTCACCCTGAGATAAACGCTGTGCTTTCACCACAACCCAGTGTCAGGTTGGCTTTGCTGTGCATGGAGTGAGTGAACCCGAGTTTGGCTTGGTAGCATTCTAGGGGAACAGATTTTTTTAAAGTAGCTTAAAAATTACCTTGAGAAGGAAACCAGAAGTCCCATCTTGACGCACTGCACACATACCCTACTGCACTTCCCTGAGTCTTCCACCCTGAGTCTCCATGTATGGTTGACCTAGATCACCTGAAGAATGGGTTTTCCATCCCCTGAAATGGGGAAGCCACATGTCGAAGAGACCTGGAGGGAAAATGAAGACTCCAGGGTTTTTTTGTTTTGTTTTTTTTCTTGGCTTCCCTGGGTCTTTGTTGCTGTGCGGGGTTTTTCTCTAGTTCTGGCGAGTGGGGGCTACTCTCTACTTGTAGTATGAGAGCTTCTCGTTGCAGTGGCTCCTCTTATTGTGGAGCACAGGCTCTAGGGCACACGGGCTTCAGTCGCTGCAGCCCGCGGACTCAATAGCTGCAGCTCCCGGGCTCTAGAGTGCAGCCTCAATCATTGTGGCTCATGGGCTTAGTTGCTTCGCAGCATATGGGATCTTCCCAGATCAGGGATTGAACCCATGTCTCCTGCATTGGCAGGTGGATTCTTTACCACTGACTAACCAGGGAAGACAAAGACTCCAGTTTTAACAGGATCAATTTGAAACTTTTATGAGACCACAAAGTATGTGTGTCACTTAGGCATTTCAACCTATGATTGAACATTGAGAGTTCAAGCCTGCATATATAAATTTCAAAGTTGTTAGCTTACACTATCATTTCAAGTCATGGTTAGATGAGACTGTCAAGGGAATGAGTGAAGACAGAAGAAGAAAATGATCAGAGTGTGAATACTAGACCTAAGCAATTGATGACAGGAAACTACCAAGCTCACATCAGAGCTTCCACTGTCCACCAAGAGGTGAATTAAGCAATCTGAGAAGTCACCATTGCTAATTTTCCCCCCATAAATGTGGAGCTGAAAGAATAAAGTGCATTTTTCATGACTTGAGGGTACATACAGATTGAGAAATGGAATTAGAGAGTGCATAAAATGCCCCAAAGGATTTAATTTTTTTTTTTTTTAAGAAGAGAGAAGTGGAAGCAGTGACAGGTTTTATTTTCTTGGGCTCCAAAATCACTGTAGATGGTGACTGCCGCCATGAAATTCAAACGCACTTGCTCCTTGGGAGGAAAGCGATGACAAACCCAGACAGTGCATTAAAAAATAGAGACAGCACTTTGCCGACAAAGGTCCATATAGTCACAGCTATGGTTTTTCCAGTAGTCATGAACAGATGTGAGAGTTGGACTACAAAGAGAGCTGAGTGTGAAATAGTTGATGCTCTTGAATTGTGGTGCTGGAGAAGAATCTTGAGAGTCTCTTGAACAGCAAGGAGATCAAACCAGTCAATCCAAAAGGAAATCAACCCTGAATATTCATTGGAAGGACTGATGCTGAAGCTGCAGCTGCAATACTTTGGCCACCTGATACAAAGAGCTGACTCAATGGAAAAGATTGTGATGCTGGGAAAGATGGAGGGCAAGAGGAGAAGTGGGTGGCAGAGAATGAAGTGGTTAGATAACATCACTGACTCAATGGACATGAGTTTGAACAAACTCTGGGAGATAGTGAAGGACGGGGAGGCGTGGCATGCTGCAGTCCATGGGATTGCAGAGAGTCAAACACAACTTAGCAACTGAACAACATAAGAGATTTATTTCAAGGCATTGGGTTATGCAGTTGTGGGGCCTGGCAGGTCCAAAATCCATTGGGTAGAGAACAGATTGGAAACTGCAGTTGGAACTAATGCTGCAGGCTTGAAGCTGAATTTTTTCCTCAGGGAAACCTTACTTTTCCTCTCAAGGCCTTACAGCTGATTAGATAAGGAAGACTCAATCAAAATAAAATCCTTTGCTTAAAAGATTGGATGATCAGTTGACTAACTGATTGCAGATGCTGAGCACATCAACAAAATACCTTCCAGCAACACCTAGATTAGTACTGGA